GATGTGGCTTGTGCCTCACCCCCCTGTGGGGCCATCTGCCCCTCCACTGTCTCTGGGGCTGCTGCTGCTGCCGCCTCCCCCAGCCTGGCAACCACTGAGCATCTTTTGAGGGGTCTCAGACTGCAAAGGGGGTCTGCCACCAATGAGCACATCTCATTATCCCAGCTTCTGATCTCTGATGTTGGTCCATAGCAGGTGCCTTACAAGGAAAAAAGCATGAGTAGAAAAATGCAACAACACCATGATATATCAGGTAGTCCCACATGTAGAGTCCCCCACAAGATGCTCTCAAATAAACCCAGAGATTAACACACTCCTGCTTGCAAGCTTTTTCCCCCACTGTCCACTCTCACTAAATTCTCTCCCCGGCATCTTGCAGCTGGGTTTGTGGAGGCTATCACAATACCTAACACGGCACTGTTGCTGTGACAGAGAAATTCAGCAATGGAGGTTATCTTGGTGTGGTGGAGAAATAGCCCCTGAATCAACAGCAATACACAGGCACTCAAAGTTACTCTTCTTCTCAGCACCTTACTGTGGCCCTAAATGTGCAAGTCTGCCTCTAATGAGAAATTAAAATGTTCTTCAGCATAAGGGAATTGGGTTTTATTGGCAAGTAAGAAGTTTTTTGCTGTTACATGGAGAAAAACATATGTTTTAGTGTTTTCCTCATCCAGAATACGTACAACATCCATGGTCTCAAAATAACAAGGAGCCAGATCTGCTCTTAGCTCAGTCCAGACCAGAAGAGCAACTGAAGGAATATCAGGCGTCACCACAGTTTCCTCTTTAGCTTTTCTGTCAGAGGTTGTCTGGAGAAAACACTAGTGAAGGTAAATGCACTCTCCAACAGAAGAAAAGTAGAGCAATTTCAAGATGTAATAGCAAAATTCAAATACCATACAGTACCTCAAATGGAAAAAGGTTTCACTTCAAGTGTTCAGGTTCGATTTCTGCCTTTAAGTGAAATGCAGTTCCCAAATTCCCCCTAAACACTCTTGCTGAAGAACAGACAGAAAAATTTCTCCAGTTCTTTCTTCTTGGTGTCTTTTGTATCCACAATGCCTCACATGGGACATCAATCAAGGATTTCTACTCCCAGAGGAGATCAAGATCCATCTCATTTCCCATCGTGGCTGACTGCTGTTAATATAAACACACTTCAGCAAAATAGTGAGATCCTTGCTGAGACCATCTACCATGCATACAGTTCAACAGCAGATGGTTTTCAAGACTCTGTAAATTAATGTAGAATTAATGTAGAATGTTCTGGGCTGGAAGCATACATTTCTGGGTCATGCTGAGCTGCTCATCAACCAATACCCCCAAGTCCTTTTTCTCATGGCTGCTCTCAATCCATTCTCTGCCCCACCTGTACTTGTGCTTGTCATTGCCCCAACCCAGGTGCAGGACATTGCACTTCTTGTTGAACTCCATGAGGTTGGCAGTGGCCCACCTCTCCCGGCGCCCCCCCTCTCCAACCTGTCCAGGTCCCTCTGGATGGCATCCCTTCCCTCCAGCGTGTCAACCACACCACACAGTTTGGTGTCGTCGGCAAACTTGCTGAGGGTGCAATCACTCTGTCCATGTCACTGACAGATGTTAAACAGCACTGGTCCCAGTACTCAGACTTGTGGTGTTTCTGAAACCAGATCTTATGGACAAACTATTGTGCACTGCATATTTTATACTAGGACTTGAGTTTTTTTGAGAATACTCACTGTTTTTTCCAAAACATGAAAATAAACTTTCTTTTTCTCGCTATGTCTACCATACCTCCTCCTCGTATATGCTTTTCTTTGTTCATATTTGAAGTCATGCCAAATTACAAATCCTGCATTAGAGAAAATCTTTGGAGTAAAATAATTGCCAAATTTCAGGTGGTCAGTATGTCTTCAAACCAGCCTGTGTGTCACTAATGTATAAGCATTTTGTTAAAACAGTTATCGCTTACCCTACATTTGTGGTCCAAAATATACACTTGAGACTCCAAGACATCTTACAAAATGTTAGCTACAATTTAACCTGTAATCAGTTAAATGAGGACTCATAAAAAAAGATACAGCTGTAAAGCTCTTCAAAGCAGCCCTTGGGAACACAAGCTATTGTATTGCAGTTTTCCCCTCAATTTCACAAACTGCCATAAGTTTAGTTTATAATAACTGCTTTAAGTAATTTTAAATAAAGGCATTTGACTCCCACTGACGCTATGTAATGCTATTTTAATAAGAGTGAGTGCAATTTAGAACATGGACTAGTGTAACTACATGATTCTGAATGGCAGGTTCTGTGTGAGAGAATTTTCTCTCATATTAATTTCACACTTTCTCACCTCATGTCCCTGGCTTGGCCCTGTTTAATCTTAGTAGTGAAATACTATCTGAACAACTGTGGCAATAATTAAATTAATTTTAAGCTATGTAGGACCAAGTTATGATCTGCAATCTCTCTTCATTTTATTCTGTCCCTACCTTCTAACTCACCTGTTTTGTGGTTGAGGTTTTTTTTCCTTTTTTTGGACCATTTATGCCTCTTTTCACATACCCACCATTCATCGCGATGCCCCACATACAAGCTCACCAATACTGACATATAGTTTAATTCTAAGCCTTCCTAGGGCAGCTGCATTGTCCTCAGCCGACATCTGTACTAGGTAACTGCACTCTTGACAACCAAGTGGCAGCATGTAGGACACAATTCCCCTGACAATCTCTTCAGCAAAGTCAGTACCAGTGTGGTACTCCCCTGTAAGCAAGATATCTACCTTACATACCACTTATTTTTCCTTCTCTAGGCCTCTTGTACAAAAATAATTTCATAGCCAAAATAGATTATCTATAAATGCTAGCAATATAGAAGAAAATGGTAAAACGTGTTTAAAAGACCAAAAAAAAAAAAAAAAAAATCTGTGTAATAAGTGTGAATGAGGGGAAGTGTGAGTTGTCTGTGATGCAAAGGAAGTGGACTACTGTTTTTATCTTGTATCCTCCAAGTCCACATTTTCAAACAACAACAAAAAAATTTCAATGTTCTGATCTCTAAACTCTTTTCCTTTCTCTTAGGGCTTACTTGTGGCAACTATATTCTGCTTCTTCAACGGTGAGGTAAGAATGTGAAATGCAGCAAATGATCAGAACTTGAAAAATTGTCACTTCATTGTTCATTAACGCAGAAATGAGGCATGTCATGCTACAAAATTTGAAACCCCACAAAATTGCTTCTTACTGTCTATACACAAGCAGCAGTGTGCATTTTTGAAAGCTCTCTGGAAAGCGTGACTTGAATACTTCTGAGCAGAGGAATCAGGAGTGTTACCATTACAAAACAGATGGCACCAAACGAGGTACATGCATGAGACTGCCCCTGCCATCTGCAAATCTGAGGCAGAGGTCTAAGAAAAGGAGAAAAATGCTCTACTTCCCTTCTTGCTGCAGAGTAGTAGGATGGATTGCCTGGAAGAATCACAGTGACCTGTAAGAAACAATGGGCATCCTTGGGGTCTGTCCTGGAGAGCTGTGGCAGATGCTGTTCCTGGTAGTGCTGTCAGAACAGAGGAAGCTGGAGGAGTACAATAACTTTCACTCCTTTGAGGATTAGCACTGACCTTTTTAAGGTCAGTATTTCTCACACAGTAATTGAGAAATAAAAACACTTGGGGCAAAGATGTCTCCCATTCTCTTACAGCTGGGATCAATGTTTTGTATACCTACAGCTGGGTTTAGGCTCACTTCACTCCTTTTTTTTTTTTTTTTTTCAAAAAAAATAGCTGTTTCTGTCAAGAAGCACTTGAATTCCTACACTAAGCTATTTTCCAAAAATGGTTAGCAGAAAAGTGCTTTTTCAATACATCAGGAGCATTTAACTGTAGCAAAATAAAACACTGCATATCTTAGAAAAACTAGGAATTCCTTAAAAAAGTTAATGTAGAATTCAGAGTACGTGAATTAGGTACGGAGCAAGCTTTGTGATGCTAGCACTCAGTATGTCAACCTAAAGAGATATTCATGCTCCTGTTTATCCCTGTATATTATTAGACAGTAGCAAATTCTAGGTAATGAAGTGACCACGCTGATGTTCTGATAGCGACTGGGAGCAAGTTATCTATTGATATGGTGCTGCTGGCTGGTTTGCTAACTTTCAGGATGGTAGAGAGTATTAAATTCTGTCACCATGTCGACATCAAAATACATTTGCTTCTAGTTGGCTTGCTCCATAAATGTACAGAGAAATGCAATAGTAGAAAAGATTAGAGGTTTCCCACTATAATTCTGTAGCATGGCTTCTCAGAAGGATAAAAAAAAATGGCAAAACATGAGCACTAGAACCCAACACAAAATGATAACTATAAAGATCATACTACAGAAGTTCATACTTTCATGGGTCCAATTAAAAAAAAATTTGAGAGATGCAAAACTATTTTTTCCTGCCACAGTTCTGTCCCCAGGATCTGCAGGCTACTACCACCTTCCTTCTTCTCCCTTACTGTCATCACTTTCTAGCACAGTCCAATCTCCATGCCCTGGAAACACAGAAAGACTTCTGCATCTCCCTGGTAGGGAGGACCTGGCGTGGAGAAAGCAGAGAACAGCCAGGCAATTTTTGAAACGTCCTTTCCCCATAGGAACAACTGCACAGCTAGTACAGGCAGTGCTCCAGTGTGTCCTTGCTTGCCTCCAAATAATGTGTTACCCCAAAATCCTGGTATTGAACATTGGCTTCTTCTTTCTTCATCATCCCCAGCGTCACCTTCCATTTTTTTCAGATTAGAATTTGCAGAACAAACGTTCTTAATGTTTCATAGCTTCAGAGTAAAAGGTTGATTACTCTGTAATTCTTCATCTCTAATGAGAACTTACTGGATTTGTGCCTAGAAAGGCTGTAGCAATGCTAAAAATGAGGAAAGGCAGCAAGGAAATGCACCGAAAATGTAAAGTATCTTCAAGGCTGTTTGTTTCTTAGGTATATTTCATCAGATAGCTCTAATTCCAAAGTACTTTTGGCAATGCCACAATGTCAGAGAAATGTACCCACCTTTACAACTCCAGGAATACAATTTTCAAGTTACCTGATGATGAATAGATTGGGAGCATCTGCTTGCCAACATCTTGGCAGACTATATGTGTAATTTAATTCAAAATTAGATTGCAGGGTATGAATGAGTTTACCTGTTATGTGAACTAACCTAGAGTGCGCTAGGCAGAAAACTAAAAGACACATTCCAGGAATAAAAATGAGTCTAAAATAAATATGCAGCTCTTTTTTGTTCCTAAGTATTTTATTACATTAATTTAGAACTCATAATAAATGTATTTGGATTATGAAAATACACCATATTCATCCATGACATTCAGAGGTCCAACCTCAGACTTTGTGCTGCACTTTGTGGATTTCTGTACTGACTGAGCTGCTTTTAGGAAGCTGCAATAGCAGCCAGTTGTTCTTTATGTGGACTGAAGATGCATGGCCTGGATACAAATCCTGAATCACAGCAATAGTTACCAAACCCCTAGTCACCTCTGACAGCCTTTTTGACATATCTGGCAGCCTACAGCAAAACGATCATTTCCTTGTGAGAGGGTCTCATCTGGATACCCACTTTTGATACTTGAATTGTCAGTGAGCCATCACTAAGGGGACACATCTGGAAAGGGTGGTGGCCAAAATGAGGTAAAAATTAATCTGATATTGAAATGTGGCTTCCAGTTTTGTACTCTATTACTCCCATAAGTAATCACCTGGATGGCTTAACTACCTCTGGGTAGCTGCAGACTGCATGTAGGATAAATGACTTCTTGATGGAGTGGCTGATCAGAAACATTCATCAGTGTCAGGCAGTAAGAACAAACAGTCGTGGGGATTCAGGTTTCCCGAACATGTTGAGTGTGGGTTTTGTTGGTGCTTGGGTACTTCTCACCATTGCAGCCAGTTTTAAAATTGTTGTATCTGCTGCAGACCTGCAGACTGTCTAACATGGTCCATAGCAGGGATGCTGAGAAATATATAAGGTACAGAACCTATAGGGGAGCAGCAACAGACTAATGCCAAGATGGCATTAGGTCCTTCCAAAGTGAGCGCTGGTCTGAGTTTGGCTGCCCAAGAGAAATAAGCTCAGGCAATTTCCCCCAGTCTTGCTGTGTGCAGTATGAGATAGACTAAAGCCACAGTCTGGTCCTCAGTCATGGTAGCAGATCATTTCCAAGCTGCTGTGTACATCTGCTGCCATAAAGATCAAAATTATTTCTCATGAGAAAATTCAGTGTGAAGCATTGAGATTAATTTTAGTACCACGGGAGACTGGATACACTGGGATTGACTTTTTCCTACTGGAATTTTTAACTTCAAGGCTAAAATACATGAAGTTTAGCCAGGACAAACAATGCTAAACTCAGTACCACCTGGCAGTGTTTCATATTGCATTGATCACCTCCTACCTCACCAACCTCACTTTAGTACTGTGAGCCCATCTATAGCAAGAAATGTAAAAGTAGTAATAAGAAGCTGTACTGATGTCTGCATTCATGGGGAAGAACACAAAAGCAATGGATTTGTTTTGGACTTTTAAAATGACAGATCTTGTGCCTTTTCATATAAAATCTCAGTGTCCAGCAGCACTGCAGGTTCTCCGTCCAACAACAACAGTGTTGTACAGATGATACAAGGCCTTTGCAATAGTCTACTCACCAGACCATATTTCCAGGCCTGAGATTGCTTCTAGACTGCAACGCTGGCCAACAAAATGGAAAGTCTGTTTGGAAAAAAAACTGCCGTATATCTTGTGTGCCAAAGAGGCATGAATGGCTAATAGAGAACAGAAAAACCTTTTAAGTCCTGAAGAACAGAGTAAATAAACTCTGGTGCTTCGTTTCTTTAGACTTCACTTTCTTCCATCTGCTATCACAGTGGAAAGCATGGCAGGCATCACCCTGCCCCTCCCAGTCCCCTGGAGCTTCCAAAGTCGTTAATAAGTTACGGCTGTGCATGTGATTTTCAGTAATGCTGCTTACACATTTAAAATCTATGCATGAACAGTTTTAGTTGGCACTGAATTCTGATCATCTGAGATCCTTGGAATCATGGCAGAAATCTAGATTAACACATTGTTTTACTCAATTGCAGCAGCTTGTACTATCCATTATCTGCTTGTGGCCGGATTCTTGTACAGGCCAACAGTTCAGCGGAGAATAAAAACACAGCTGCTTTGACCTCGTGCTCTCACTGCTCCGTGGAGCCTTTTAAACCTGACTAACGGCACTTCTAATCGTGGGCTGAACTGGAAGGCATGTGCCTGTTCTCTCCATAACCAGACATACAATTCGAGTGTTGCTCCCTTGTGAGAAGAAAACCATAAGCTCCTCACGGCAGGCTTTGTAAGACTCCGTGACATTGTACTTCCCTCTTCGGTTAACCGTGGTTTTATCTCCAGACCTATGGTTGGTTTGGTGGCCTGTCAGACTCCAGTTCAGCTGAGAGCAGTTTAAGAGCTCAGCAGGAGCTCATCACCTTCACAGCAGCTCTTCTCCACACACAAGAGAGACCAAAGCCTTGGGGTCTATGCAAGGGGCAGGGGAAGGAGGGCTAGGAGAGGAACAGGAAGGCTGTAAGAGCATGTTCCTGCCACCTTCACTAAGAACACTGAGATTAATCTGAATGGATGAACTGCTGTGAAATGCAAAGACACTCAAGGGGGGGCAGAGGTGATGGGCAGAGGTGCACAGTGGCTACAGGCACTAGTGACCACAGTGGTGGTGGTGGAGATGGCTGTGGGTGGGCAGAGCTGCTGTGCACACCCAAGATTTCAGCATTATCATCCTTTCATCCAGCCATAGGTTACAGGAACTGCTGCCCCGGAGTGATAGTGGGGAAAGACACTGACTTAATCCTGAAGATTTCTTCTTCCATCTTCCATCTTCCCTCCCCATAGCTTCTAGGATGACTAAGTTACAATATTCATACTGTATCATCAAAAGGCAATTTTGAAGTGACTACAATCTTTACAGGTTTTACCACCTGTGTAATATTTCTGTATCATGCTACAACTGCATTAGTCTTCCATGCAATTATTCTTTCTTACTAATAAACTTTGATGATGGTGTGATAGAAAACATCCCTGCATGCAACCATTTCACTTTAAGTCTCAGTGTTGGCATAGTAAGCTTTTCTCACAGCCCCAGTAATTGCAGTTCAGTTGTAACCATATGCCTTTTCTGTGCTTGATATCTAATTAATCTACACTCAGGCTTTTGTTTTCTTTTGTTTATGTGTTAGGAGAAGGTGAACAGGAATACATTTCTCCAGATGAGAACTCTTAGCTACTTTGTCTAAATCTAAACAATAGCAGAAAAAGAGCTAGTATTGGAAAATGGGCATGGATATAATTTTCAGTTAGTTATGAAAGACTAGTCCTGCAAACGTTTGTTTACTTAAGAAAGTAGTCATACCAAAGTCAGTGCAACTACTTGCATGAGTAAGGATTTATAGCATCAATCCTCATACCTTGGCTTGAATCTTGGATTAAAAATAAAAAGCCAAAGTAATTGAAATATCCATTCTTGGCATGCTGCACAGTTGTGCTGTACACTCAGTAAGCATCTCAGATTCATAGCAATTCCTTATGAAGCCTTGTCCTTATGTGACATGAAACAGCTTTCTTGCAGGCAACTGTGGGTGGTAAATAGGTAACATTTTACTATATACACATTAATAGAGTGATTAGAATTGTAGAGACTTGGGAAATATTAGTGTCATTCAGATTCATTTATATAAATCAGTGATACTGTTCTGCACAGAACATAGAGAGTGACTTCAGACTACTCTCAGCAAAAATGACATACAATGTCCACTTCAGCAGGGGCACAGAAATGCTGGGACACTCCTGTCATCGCTGTGCCTCACCTGCACATGCCTTCTGTGGATGGATGGTCATTTACAGCAGATTATTACAGCAAACTGCTCCTGTTCTCACACTTGGTGGGCTGGAATAGCTGAGGTGAAGGAACAGAGACAGGAATTGCCCACTCCCTGCTTTGGGAATGAGCTAGTGAGCGCTGGTGTGCCTAAACATGCAGCTGGAGAAGGGCTGCTTATTCCCTGGCAGGACTCAGTAGCTTAAGTCATATCCTAGCACCATATATAACATCACTCTTGAAGTAAAGGTTGAATAAAATATTTTATTCCTAGAAGATGAATGTCCAAAAGTTGAAATTCTCTGCTACACAGTGGGCTATGACCAATGTTAATTTTTTGCCAGCGTAGAACCTCTTCTTAAATTACCAGAATAAAATCTCTGTTTAGCTATACTAATCCTCCCACTCTTTCTCTCTACAAAATAAGCCCTGGCAAGCTCTTGAAGTGTACTTACACTCTGCCATTCATGGCCAGTTTTACTCAACGTTAAGTTTCTTCAGGGATCACAGTGCATCAGCCATTCCAGGGGCAAGGATCCAGCAGTAGCAGCAGATGGGTTTTAATCCCCCTGCCTTCTTCCTCTTCCACCACAGCATCCTACTGTGTTCCTGTGCAGCAGTCTGCTCCACATTCACCTCTCATGGGAACAGCTAACCCATACCCGCCCTTTATAAGCAGCAACAACTGCAGAAACTCTGATTGATGCAATAGGGTAGGCAGGGAGGGAGTTAAGGCTGAGAGCTGGGCAACTGCTTCTGCTTCTGGAGCTGGAAGCAGAGGGCAGGAGAGATGCAGACTGAACCTGATGGAATTAGGCCTGG